TGGGGAACCATGCTTCCAATATTCATGTCTTCATGTAGTCTGCTTGAATCTGGGTTGGCCCTGTGACTTGCTTTAACCAGTGGAATGCAGCACAAGTGACACTGTGCTAAACCTTAGGAAGGCCTGGCACTTTCCACTGTGGTACTCTTAGCAGCAAGTCACTGGGTGAGAAATACAACTACCGTAAGGCTGCCGTGTGGTGAGGAAGCCCAGGCGGCTGCAGTGGAGGGAACCGAGGCGCTTGGCTGGCAAGCCTAGCTGCTTCCAGTCAGCAGCCAGGACAGACTGCCTGCAGTGGCAGCGAAGCCACTGGGCCTTGAGCTGTTCCAGTGCCCCATCAGATGCCATGTGAGGGTTGTGATAAACAATGAAATCACTTGCATCATCCCAGAAAGAAACCCTGTGCACATTAGCAGTCACTCGCCATTCCCTCTCCACCCTTAGCACCTGGCCCTAGGCAACCACTAATCTGTCTCTATAGGTTTCTGTCTCTGTAGATTTGCCTATTCTGGGCATTTCATATAAATGGAATCACACAATACAATCATTCAGTCAACATAGTGGTTTTTTGTGTCTGGCTTCTTTTGCTTAGCATGCTGTTTTCAAGGTTCATCTATGTTGCAGCACGTATCAGCACTTCATTCCTTTTTATGGCCAAAAAATATTCCCTTGTACGGATGTATCCATATTGTCTTTCCTCATTTGATGGCCTTTTGAGTTGTTTTACTTTTTGGCTATTATGAATAATGCTGCTATGAATATTAGTGTACAAGTTTTTGTGTGGACATGTTTTCATTTTTCTTGGGATATACCTAAGAATGGAATTGCAGTTTCACATGGTATCTCTAAATTTAGTCTTTGAGGAACTGCCAAACTGTTTTCCAAAGTGACTGCAGTTTTACATTTTTACCAGCAATGTACCAGGATTGCAATTTCTCCCCATAGAGTTGCCTTGGAACCCTTGTTGAAAATCAGTTGACCATAAATATGAAGTTTCACTCTGGACCCTCCGTTCTATTTCATTGATCTCGGTATCTATTCTCATGCCAGTACCACACTGTCTTGATTACTGTAGCTTTGTAAGTTTTAAAATGGAAAGTGTGAGTCTTCCAACTTTGTTCTTTATTAAGATTGTTTTGGCTATTTGCTGTCCTTTGCACTTCTGTGTGAATATTAGAATCACTTGTCAATTTCTGCAAAAAAATCCAACTGAGGTTTTGAATCTATAGGTCAATTTGGGGAGTATTGACATCATAACAATGTTAAGTCTCCTGATCCACGAACATGGGATGTCTTTCCGTTTATTTAGATGTTTTTTTTGTGTGTGTGTGTGAGGAAGATCAGCCCTGAGCTAACGTCCATGCCAGTCTTCCTCTTTTTGCTGAGGAAGACTGGCCCTGAGCTCACATCTGTGCCCAGCTTCCTCCACTTTATGTGGGACGCCGCCACAGCATGGCCTGACAAGCAGCAGTGTGTCGGTGCGCGCCTGGGATCCGAACCCGGGCCGCCAGCAGCGGAGCGCACACACTTAACCGCTACGCCACGGGGCTGGCCCGTATTTAGATGTTTTTTAATTTCTTTTAACAATGTTTGTGGTTTTCAGTATACAAGTTTTGCACTTATGTTAAATTCCTAAGAATTTTGTTATTTGTTGATGCTATTGTAAATGGAGTTGTTTTCTTAATTTCATTTTCAGATTGTTCATTGCTGGTGTATAGAAATACAACTGATTTTTGTATATTGATCTTGTATCCTGCTACCTTGCTGAATTTCTTTATCAGTTGTAATAATTTTTTAGTGGATTCCTTAAGATGTTCTATAAACAAGATGATGTCATCTGTGAATATAGTTTTACTTTTTTATTTCCAATTTGGGTGCCTTTTATTTCCTTTTCTTGCCTAATTGCCCTGGCTAGAACCTACAGTATAATATTGAATAGAAGTGGTGAGAGTGAACATTTTTGTCTTGTTCCTGATCTTAGGGGGAAACATCCAGTCTTTCACTATTTGCTTTGGGTTTTTCGTAATCCCTTTATCAGGATGAGGACGTTGAGTATTTTTGTCATGAAAGGTATTGGATTTTGTCAAATGCTTTTTCTCCGTCTATTGATCATGTGATTTTTGTTATATTTTCATTTATGTGAGCTCTTCCATTCTTGATCTTGGAGTAAGTTTCATGCATTACAGAAATTAAAGATTAGTGGTCATCAGCATTTGGGTAAATAGAAGCCTTGGGAGTAGGTGAGATTACCCAGAAAGAGTATATAGAAAGAGAAGGTGGCTAAAGATGGAACTTAGAGGAATATAGTCAGTCTGCCATGTGCAGTGCTACATTTAATTTCATTTCAGTTAAAAAATTTAATGAAAACTTCACCTAAAGTAGCAGGTTGTGGTTTTTGCTTTACAAGGTAATTGTGCTGTTGTCTGCAGCTGTTGATGTGTCTGAAGAGTCTGTGGTAACGTGGGAAGTATTTCTGCCCTGTATTTGATTGCCTTTGTATGAAGGCAGAACCCTTATACAAAGTGTAAGTATTTAAGGTGTAGATAAAGGAAGAGAATCAGCATGGTTTTTTGAAATGAATATGTACATGGCGAGTAAATAGTAGAACTTCAAACTTCGTAAACACTGCTAGTTCCATAAACTGACCATTTTAACACTATTAGATGCTGAAATTTACCTTTTGTCTACTAGAAAGAATGTTTGTGTGGAAACAGAAAAAAAAATCAATTTGTGGGAAATTTCCTTCATATAGTTAGTATTCTTGTGTAAGGAGCCTGAAGCATGCGCAACAGTAAACAGCCAGAGAGCCTCAGACCTTGAATTGAGAACTAGAACTAGACGGTGCTTTCTCTTCTCGTTTTGCTTTGTCCTTTAGACTAATACTTATAAAATAATGTCTCTTTTAATTTCATAATCACTACTAGAAGTTACTCTGAGGAAATCCTGATTTCAAAGTGTTTAAAACTGATAATGGTCACAGTAACTTGTTGGTGAGACTACCTGTTAGACTCACACAAGACAGTTATTTATTTATTTCAGCTTTATTGAGTATAATTGACAATTAAAAGTTGTATATATTTAAGGTGTACAACTTGATAATTTGATATATTTAACATTGTGAAATATTCACCAATATCAAGGTAATTAACATACCTATCACCTCACATAGTTACCATTTTCTTTCTCTTTTTTGGGGGGTGGTGATAACACTTAAGATCTACCTTCTTAGCCAATTTGAAGTATACAATACAGTATTGTTAACTATAGTCACTATCTAAGACATTTTGATCCTTAGAAATATCCTGACTGAATGTCAGCAGTTAAGGTCTAAGTGTGTAGCAATCTGTGTTACCTGTTCTAAATTTAAATTAGTTGATAGTCTTGGAAAAAGTTATTGAAATTCTCCAATTTAATCATAAAGAATTCAGATTACTTGGTTGAACTAAAAACAGTCTTTTTATATTAACCAACTTATCAAGTGATATGATTGGTAAAAATCAATTTGTGAGATGTTTGTTACCTGAAATTTTGTTTCTTCCTTGAACTATGTTATTAGAGTTGTCCAAAATCATATGAATAACCTGACTGAGAATAATAGATTATTTTATTTGAGGCACAAAAAGAGTAGAATATTGACTGATAACTATGAATTAATACTAAAGTTAATAGAAAGTGGAATGCCCCACCATGGTGCCCTCAACGTATAAACTAAGACATATTAAAGGAGCTAACGCATCTGTTTGGAGGGTCAGAACCCAAATCAGGGTTCTTAAGAGACAAATCAGTACAGTGTAATAAGTACAGTACCATGTAATAAGGAGAGGCCTATTTATTTTATTTATTTATTTATTTATTTTGTGAGGAAGATCAGCCCTGAGCTAACATCCATGCTAATCCTCCTCTTTGCTGAGGAAGACCGGCTCTGAGCTAACATCTATTGCCAGTCCTCCTCCTTTTTTCCCCAAAGCCCCACTAGATAGTTGTATGTCATAGTTGCATATCCTTCTTGTTGCTGTATGTGGGACGCGGCCTCAGCATGGCCGGAGAAGCGGTGTGTCGGTGTGCGCCCGGGATCCGAACCTGGGCTGCCAGTAGCGGAGCGCGCACACTTAACCGCTAAGCCACGGGGCAGGCCCCAGGAGAGGCATATTTAGATACCACTTCAAATTATTTCTCCTATTTAACCTTAAACATACAAGATATTTTTTAAAGTATATTCACAGCAAAAAGACTGCTAACTTAGTCATTTCTCAGACAGGTGTTTCCATGTAGTCTTAATCCCTTGTCCTTAAAAATTTGGAGAACTAATTCGCTTCTTTGCCATCTTTACGTAGATAAAAATGAGACTGTGCTCACTAGGGAGAAAGTAAAGATGAATGTTCAGGTACTAAGGTTGGAATTAGATGCTTCATGTGTTATTAAATATATACAGTCATGCGCCGAATGGTGATGTTTCAGTCAACAATGGACCACATATACGACGGTGGTCCCATAAGATTAGTACCATACAGCCTAGGTGTGTAGTAGGCTCTACCATCTAGGTTTGTGTAAATACATTCTATGATGTTCGCACAACAATGAAATCGCCTAATGACGCATTTCTCAGGGTGTATCCCTGTCGTTAAGCAATGTGTGAGTGTACAGTTATCAGATACTCTTGATTGTTGATGAGTTTTAAAGTCGTGCAAGTCTATAGACAGTGATACATCTTCAAGTATATAGTTCATAAAATGGTTGTAGTTAATTTATCGTGTATTACATGATATTGTTGGCAAACATAAATTACATAGCTCTTCTCATTATCACATGTAAACATTATGATGTGTAATAACAACTGGAAAGCATTTTATATTATAAAATTTATACATTTCTTTAGCATTCTTCTTGATGTAGGAAAAAACTGTTTTTACAAAGACTGTTAACTCATATTCTCTAAATGTATATACATATAAATTCTTTTAATGTGAAAAATTGTTGGATTTCTGTTCTTATGACTGCAGGAAGCATATGTGCCTCATTTCTTACCCAAAGCTACCAACTGCCAGTTCTTGATACAATGTTTGTAAGAAAGAAATATCGAGGCAAAGATTTTGGGCTTCATATGCTGGAGGACTTTGTTGATTCCTTTACAGAAGATGCACTTGGCTTGCGATATCCACTGTCCTCTCTCATGTACACAGGTAAATGGATTAAGTTAAAAAATGTTAAACTTGTCTCAGTGTTGCTTCTGACTTGTGTCTGCAGAATATTGTAAATGTGCATATATCAATATTAAATAAATTTGGATTCTTTGGCTCCCTAGGGCTTAATTTTGCAAATGTGCCCTTATCTCATGTATATGGCTTTTTGAGGGTGTGGTAGCTTCTCAAAAAAATTGGAATATAATTCACATACCATAAAATTCACACTCTTAAAGTGTACAATTCAGTGGTTTTTAGTATAGTCCCAGCTGTGCAACCATAACTACTACCTAATTCCAGAACATTCTCATCACCCCCAAAAAGAAACCCTGTGCCAGTTAATAGTCACTCTCCATTCCTCCAGTCCTCCATCTCCTGGCTAAACACTAATCTATTTTCTGTCTCTCTGGATCTACCTATTCTGGACATTTCATATAAATGGAATCATATGATGTGATTGTATTATAAGCCCTTTGTGTCTAGCTTCTTTCATTTTGCATAAATGTTGCATTTGTGCTTTGTTCCTTTTTATGGCTGAATATTACTTCATTGAATGGACATGCCACATTTTGTTTATCCGTCATCAGTTGATGGACTTTTGGGTTATTTCTACTTTTCAGCTGTTGTGAGTAATGCTGCTGTGAACATTTGTATGTTTTTTGTGTGGACATTTCTCTTGTGTAACCTAGGTGTGGATGGATTGCTGGCCCATGTGGTGACTCTGTGTTTAATCTTTTGAGGAACTGCCGCTCTGTTTTCTGAAGCAACTGTACCATTTTATATTCCCATAAACAATGTATGAGGGTTGCAATTTCTCCACATCCTCGTCAACACTTGTTATAATCTGTCTTTTTTGTTATAGCCATCCTGGTGAGTGTGAAGTGTCATCTCATTGTAGTTTTGATTTGCATTTGATGTTGAGTATCTTCTGATGTGCTTATTGGCCATTTGTATATCTTCTTTGGAGAAATGTCTGTTTAGATTCTTTGACCATTTTTTCTTTGGGTTATTTGTCTGTGGTAGCTTTTTAAATTAAAAAAAAATTCAGACATACAAGAAGATATAAAGAATGAGGTAACAAATACTCATGTACCATCCAACGTGTGCCATCATGAGAAATGGATCACTGCCAGTGGAGTTGTACTCCTACCCAGTTAGCTCACTCCCTTCCCTGAAATAAGCACTATCCTTAATTTGGCATTTATTTTCCCTATGCATTTCTTTCTTTCTTTTTTTTTTTTGTGGGGAAGATCAGCCCTGAGCTAACATCCCTGCTAATCCTCCTCTTTTTGCTGAGGAAGACCGGCTCTGAGCTAACATCTATTGCCAATCCTCCTCCTTTTTTTCCCATTTTCTCCCCAAAGCCCCAGTAGATAGTTGTATCTCATAGTTGCACATCCTACTAGTTGCTGTATGTGGGACTCGGCCTCAGCATGGCCGGAGAAGTGGTGCGTCGGTGCATGCCCGGGATCCGAACCCGGGCCGCCAGTAGCGGAGCGCGCGCACTTAACCACTAAGCCACGGGGCTGGCCCCCCTATGCATTTCTTAGACTTTTTTTTTTTTAATATCTATTTGTCCATTTTTAAATTTTTATTTATTTTTATATTTTCTTTTTTTTATTGATGTCATAATACTTTATAACATTGTGAAATTTCAGTTGTACATTATTATTTGTCAGTCACTATATAAATGCACCCCTTCTGCCGACCCCCAACCCCCTTCCCCCTGGTAACCACCAAACTATTCTCTCTGTCCGTGTGTTAGTTTATCTTCCACATACTAGTGAAATCATACGGTGTTTGTCTTTCTCTGTCTGGCATATTTCACTTAACGTAATACCCTCCAGGTCCACCCATGTTGTTGCAAATGGGATGATTTTGTCTTTTTTTATGGCTGAGTAGTATTCCATTGTATATATATACCACATCTTCTTTATCCAGTCTTCTGTCGATGAACAGTTGAGTTGCTTCCACTTCTTGGCTATAGTGAATAATGCTGCAGTGAACATAGGGGTGCATAAGCCTCTTTGGATTGTTGATTTCAAGTTCTTTGGATAAATACCCAGTAGTGGGATAGCTGGATCATAAGGTATTTCTATTTTTAATTTTTTGAGGAATCTCCATACTGTTTTCTATAGAGGCTGCACCGGTTTGCATTCACACCAGCAGTGCATTTCTTAGACTTTTAATACATATATATGTATCCTCCAACAATATGTCATATTGTTTTACATATTTAAAAACTTTATATAAATGATATGTACTGTATGAATTTTCCTGCAGTTTGCTTTCTCTACTCAGCTTTATGTTTATGAGATTCATTCATGTGGATTCATGTAGCTCTATTTATTCATTCTCAATGCTGTTTAGTATTCCATTGTATGGATATACCATGTGGTGATGTTTTAAAAACTGTTAGTGGATTTATACTTGCATTTGTGTAAAGCCCATACAACTACTTTTTTCTTAATGAAGTAAAATTTAATCCTGGAAAGTAATTTGTTTGAAAACTTTTATAAAATACAATTTACTATTGATTTTAGTCTAACATCAGATGTTTATTTCCACTGAAAATATATTTGTGTTCTAAGTTTCCTCCCCCTTTTTAATATCACAGGTTCAAAAAACAAGAACCAAGTGTTGTGTCCCCGTTTTGAATCATAATTTATTTCTAGACCCATCCATGAGAATGGAATGAATGCTGTATACTCTTCGATAATCTGAAAATGGATTTTCCCCTTAAAATCTAATTGTTGCTTTACTGAATTTGGGGAGGAATGCAGACACATCCACTACAGGCAGAATCCCTTAACACTTACTCTTTTCTAGGATTCTAATGATAAATAAACGGAATACCAAATGAATTACAGGTGCACATCAGCTACTTTCTATCTTTGCTAAAGTCTTGATGGGCTGGAACTCTTTTCTTTTGGTTTAGTCAGGAGATTCCCAGACAATGTTTTATTGATGTCATTTGTGTGATTTTGTGAATAAGACTCTTTGAAATGTGAAAATAAAGGAATATATTGAGAATAGAATATTTTAGACTAGTGGCTTCTCCATCATTTCGGTTCCTTGCTCTTCGTCTCTCCTGTACAGTGTTTATTATCTGAAGGACTTGGATTTCCATTTGGTTTTTCTCTTTCAACTTAGTTAATTAATAGTTCTTTGATGTTGCTGTATGTCCAGTAGTTCTTTGATGACCATCACTTGTTTCCATGAATATTTTGAATGTTCTAAGAAACATTATAGTGTTTTATGTTGTAAGCTTTATTAAAAAAAACAGAGATAATTTGTTTATTCCAAATAGGTAATGAGTGCCACCTATGGATGGAGTTGGTCTCAGGCTAGAGTAGGTGCTTAGCGAACCATGGGACTAGATTTACACAGTACTGTGGCATGTGTACCTAGAGACACGGAGTAAATAAGGTCTCGTGAATCCTTTATCCATTTGGAGTTTATCCTGGTGTACCGTGAACATAGTCATGCTCATTCATTTACATATTGTCTATGGCTTCTTTTGCCCTAAAATGTCAGAGTTGGTTAGTTATGACAGTGACCACAGGGCCTGCAAGCCTAGAATATTTGCTGTCTGTCCCTTTAAGAAAAAGTTTGCTAAGCCTTAATCTAGATTATACATTAAATTTGTGCATATATCTATTCGTGTATAGTTCTCCTTTGTTTCTATTAATCTTTTAAGTTCCAGTGCTTCACTGTTTTATTTATTTTAGCTTTTGAATATCTGGAAAGACTAATCTTCTCCTTCATTTAATAATTCTGACTTTGCTTATTTATTTTCCTATATTGACTTCAGAATCCACTTTCTAGATTTAAAAAAAATTCTGTTCAGATTTTATTGGGCTCACTTTTAAACTTATTAGCTTATGGAGAAGTAACATCATTATCTTTTTTTTCTATCCAACAATATTATAATTGTATGTATAATGTATATAATTGTATGATTTTGTTCAGATCAGTTAGCATTTGGGTTTTCTCCATACAGTTCTTAAAGTTAAGCTAGGAAAAAATATGTATATTTGGGAATTTTATCTTTGTTGTTGCTATTGTAAATGTATTTTCTTCCATTATTTTTTCTAACTGGTGGTTAGTTATATACATGAAGGGTATTGATTTATATATGTATTAATTTTTTACCCAGCCACATCACTAAATTTGTAATAACTCCATAGTTAATTTTCTTGAGTTTCCTGGAATTTACCTCTTTGTTAGGGCCCAGACCAAAAGCCTTGCCTGATCTTTGCTCAACAGAGATTTACCTTTCCTCCTCTCAGTCTTGTGGTTGTTTACCTGTAGTGCTCTTATGCTACTTAACCACTTTCCACCTTATAGTCTATTTCTTCAGGTTTTCATTTTAATACCATTTTAGACTCTGAGTTCCTTGTGGATAAATTCTGTGAATATTTCTTCTGTAGCAGCACCATCTAGGTCTTTGCACAGAGTGAGTGTGCTCAATAAGTGACTGTGAAAAGATTCTGTGAGGCAAAGACTGTTAAGAGTTTGGAGACATTTAGCATTGGGGAATATCTTTGGAGAAGTGTAGGGTCCATACTATAAAGCTTAGGCTTTAAAAGAATTATGTGGCAAGGGTGAATTTCTTAGTGCTGCACGTAGAATGGCGTAGGTGAAAGAGGTCTCCAAAACTTGTCGAGGAGGGATGGCCAGTGCTACTCAGTTGGCGGCTGTTCTTCCTATGGGCACATACCTCCTGTGTCACTTAGCGGAATGCTGGAGGTGTAAGAGTTCTCTTTTTCTGACCATGACTCTGGCTAGACAGATCTGAATGAGGACCTTCAACTCTAGTCACCTTTTGTCAGGTACTCCCTTTGGGCTGCATTCTCTTCTATTTTGGTCATTTTAATTCAGACAGAGGACTCGGTGTGGCCTGTTGTGTTGGTTTTCTCCAGCTTCTTACTTCCTAATAGGTAGGGAAACTGAAACCAGAAAACATGAGAAATATCTTCAAACGTACAGGAAAAAAACTGAGAAAATAGTATCCTAGTGTCTGTCCATGTAGCCAGTATCCAGATTAATAAATGTTAAGATTTTGCCATATTTGTTTTCACTTATTTTTAGGGAGAACTAAATAGAACATTGTAGATACAGTTGATGTTCTCTTTGGACCCCTCCCTAATCCCATTCTCCTTTCCTCCCCAGAGATAATTGCGTTCCTGAAGTTGGTGTAGATCTTTCCTGCCCGTGGTTTCCTACTTATGTTGATGTGCATAAACACTATAAAGCATTATTTAGTGTGCTTTTCTATTAAAAAGATTTTTAAGTTTTTTTGTGATAAAATATATATCATTTTAACCATTTTGTAGATGTACAATTCGGTGGCATTAATCACATTCACAATGCTGTGTACTCATCACCACTATCTATACCCAAACCTTTTTCACCATCCCGAACATAAACTTGTACCCTTTAAACAACTCCCCCTTTTCCCCTTGCCCCATTCTCTTGCCCCATTCCCTGCTGTCACTATGAATTTGCCTTTTCTAGGTACTTCATTCATGTAAGTGGAACCATACAATATTTGTCCTTCTTTGTCTGTGTTATTTCATTTAGCATCATGTTTAAGGTCCATCTGTGTTGTGGCATGTATCAAAATTTCGTTTCTTTTTATAGCTGAGTAGATTTTTATTGTCTGAATATATCACATTTCATTTATCCATTTTTCTGTTGACGAACGCTTGGGTTGTTTCTGCCTTTTGGCTGTTACGAATATTGCTGCTATGGACCTTGGTGTACAGATAGATCTCTGAGTCCCTGCTTTCAGTTCTTTTGGATATATACCTGAGAGTGGAATTGCTGGGCTTTATGGTAGTTCTATGTTTAACTTTTTGAGGAATTGCCAAACTGTTTCCACAGAGGCTACACCATTTTGTTTAATGTTTTTGAACTTTATTATATAAATGATATAATTTTGTACATATACTAACTTGCTTTTTTACTGACTTTATCAGTGTTGATATATGTAGCTGTAGTTTATTTTTTGTCACTGCTGTATATTATTTATTGTGCACATATAATAATTTATTCATAGATCTCCCAGTGATGGGCACTTAGGTTGTACCCCCACCCTGGTTTAAAAATAGTACTGTAATGAGCATTAGAAATATCTTCTAGTGCATATGTGTAAGTCATGAGGGTATATACCTAACGTAGAATTGGATCATAAAATATGTCTCTTCAGCATTACTAACTATTGCAGGATTGTCCTCACACAGCAGAGGGTGGGAGTGTCCATTTCCCTTATTCCCCTGATGCTAGTTATGATCTGGTGGGTGTGAAAATGGTGTCTTGTCATTTCCTCTTATATTTTCTTGGCAGCTGGTGAGGTTTATCATCTTTATCTTTGCTCAGTGACCATTCGGTTTTCATTGTGTGTGAATTTGCTGTTCATAGCCTCTGCCCGTTTTTCTTGGAATTATTTTGTCTTTCTAATTCAATTTTAGGAATTTTGTTATATGCTCAGAATATTCATCCTTTGTTTTCTTCTGAATATCTCCTAATCTGTATCTTTATGGTATTTTTAAAGATTTTTTTTTTTTTAATTCATTTTTTTCCCCCCAAAGCCCCAGTAGATAGTTGTATGTCATAGGTTCACATCCTTCTAGTTGCTGTACGTGGGACTCGGCCTCGGGTTGGATGGAGAAGTGGTGCCTTGGGGCGTGCCCAGGATCCGAACCCGGGCCGCCAGCATCAGAGCGCACGCACTTAACCGCTAAGCCACAGAGCCGGCCCTCTTTATGGTATTTTTAAAATTTAAAACCATGTAGTCCAATACAGCAGCCAGTAATATAAATTAGATATGTTTAAGTTAATTAAAATTAAATACAGTTTTAAGTTCAGTTCCTCAGTAGCCACATGTGGCTCTTGGCTGCTGTATTGGACAGTGCTGATACAGGCCATTTCCATCATCGTAGAAAGTTCTGCTGCATAGTCCTGATATAGAGAGCCTTAAACTTTAACAGTCAGGTTTATCATAATATTTCATTATGGATTGTGATTTTTGTATCTTTTATAAGAAATCCTTCAGTACCCCAGGGTCCTAGAGGTATTCTGTTATGTTTTCTTTTAAACATTTTGCTTTTCATAATAGATCTTAGAATCCATCTAGAGTTTATTTATTATTTATTTATTTATTTTTTGTGAGGAAGATCAGCCCTGAGCTAAGATCCATGCTAATCCTCCTCTTTTTGCTGAGGAGGACTGGCTCTGAGCTAACATCTATTGCCAATCCTCCTTTTTTTCCCCCAAAGCCCCAGTAGATAGTTGTATGTCATAGTTGCACATCCTTCTAGTTGCTGTATGTGGGACTCGGCCTCAGCATGGCCGGAGAAGCAGTGCGTTGGTGCGCGCCCGGGATCTGAACCCAGGCCGCCAGTAGCGGAGCGCGAGCACTTAACCGCTAAGCCACGGGGCCGGCCCTAGAGTTTATTTTTATGAATGATGTAGATGTGAGGTCAAGATCTGACTTGATTTTTTTCAATATGGATTTTTATTCTAGCATCATTTTAATAGTTTATCCATTCTCTGCTGAGATGTAATGCCGCCTCTGTCATTTGCCAGGTTTTTAGTGTACATGTAGTTCTTTCCTGGTGGGTTTTTTTTTTTTTCCTGGTATTTTAATTCTTCTTCTTCTTCTTCCTTTTCCTCTTCTTCCTCTATATCCTATGTCAATACCAGGTTGTTTTAGTTACTGTGCCTGTATGATGATTCTTCACATCTTCTAGGATGAGTCCTTCTTCTTACTTTTTTTCCTTCAAAATTGGCCTGAATATTGTTTCTTAACCCCTTGCTCTTTCATTTTGAATTTGGGATCAAGTTTTGTCAAGTTCCATTAAAAAATATACTCTGTTGGGATTTTGTTTAGAATAGCATGAACTTTACAGAATAATTTGGTGAGAATTGGTGTTTTTACACTATTGAGTCTAACAATCCTTTTATTCAGTTCTTCTATGTTCCGCAGTAACATTTAATAATTTTCTCTTTAGAGGTGAGGCACATCTTTTATTAGGATTTTTATTGCGTGGTCATGTTAAAACTTTAACTTGGAATTGTATTTAGGGTTTTTATTCATAAATGAGACTGCTGTATAGTTTTCTTTTCTTGAGTTACCATGGTGTTTTTGGTGTCAAGGTCATGCTAGTCCCATTGAGTGAGTTGGGCAGATTACTTTCCATCTTCTTTGTTTTCCAAAACAATTGATATTTGGGATTCCTAGAAAATTCTAAATGTGTTTTTCAGCTTGCAAGCAATACTTTGAAAAGTATCCGGGAGACCATGAACTCCTTTGGGAAGTTGAAGGTGTTGGGCACTGGTACCAGCGAATACCAGTCACCAGAGCATTGCAGAGAGAAACACTTAAGATGACAGGTAAGAATGTTTTCATGTGAGCACGTGTCCAGCTTAAAAAGCAGTGCCCACTGATGGTTGTGTCGTACGGTCTAGAGTAGTGGTATGATCTCTCTAGTAACAGACCCTGTTTTCTAAAGTTTGAACTTTTGGTATGTATTAACGTTTGAGTCACTAATAAGAGGACCTAGGATAGCCCAGCAGAGTGGAACAGTCCAGTAGGAATTGGTGGGTAAGAAATGAACACAGATTGCTGAAACAGCATAGGCCAGGCATCCGGGGATCAGAGGTGGTCCCGTCTCCCGCATCTCTCCTCAGAGTCACTAACTACAGATAACGGAGACTCTGTAATGGCAGGGTTTCAGTGGAAGCTTTTGGTGACGGGGAAGGTCACACACTAGATTTTCACCACCCTCTGTTCAGGCTGCTCTTCAGGGCTTTTGTGAGGATCAGTACAAACAGTGTTACAATTAAAACCAAATACTGATTGGGTTATAATTTTTAAAATTCTTCTACACACAGCACTTTCTCAAAATGAAGCTAAAAGACCTATGTCTGGAGAAGATGGTCTTGCATCTGTTCTGGAATATGAAGCAGGAACTGAAGACAATCAGTCTAGTGAGATGCAGCTAACTGTAGGTGCACTGTATGTTTATTGTAGGAAATAATGATTTTTCTGTTCGTTTAAAATCGGTTCGGCTAATATTTAATTTTTTAAATGGTATAGTTATTTAACAAACTTATGTAATTTCTACCGTGTTAGTTTTCTTGGCATCTTCTGTTAATTGGTTACTAAGGACTTAATTTTCTTTGAAAAATAGTTTGGAATACTACACATAAAATAGTATAGAAGAAAATAAAAATCTGTAATCCCACTACTTCAGATACAGTGCTGTTAACATTTTTGTATATGTACTTAATATATTATTATAAAACATGTATCTGCATACATTTTTTGTTTTTATTCTTTTATGCTGCTTCTAACTGCTTTTCTCCATTAACGTAATATTGTAAGCGTTTTCCATAGTGTTACTTTTTTTTTTTTCTTTTTTTTGTGTGGAAGATCAGCCCTGTGCTAACATTTGCCAATCCTCCTCTTTTTTTTTTTTGCTGGGGAAGACTGGCCCTGGGCTAACATCTGTGCCCATCTTCCTCCACTTTATATGGGACGCCGCCACAGCATGGCTTGCCAAGTGGTGCGTCGCTGCGCACCCGGGATCCGAAGTGGCAAACCCCAGGCCGCCACAGTGGAGCGCACGCACTTAACTGCTTGCGCCACCGGGCCGGCTCCTAGCATTGCTGTTTTAAAACATGATTGTTAAATAGTAGCACACTGTTCTATTATATATCTAAATACTATTTTATTTCCTTAACATATTATGCTTAAGTTTTTTACAGTTATAAGTGGCCCAGCAGTGAACACATTTATACAAGCATCATTGTGCACATGTAATTATTTTCTTGCACAGATAAATTTCTAGAAGTGGAATTAGTAGTAGGTCAGAGGTTATGAAGTTGTTGTGGGAAGTTTGAGGCTATGTATGCTGGGTCTTTGTAGATTGTAATGCACTTGGCAAATACTAGGTAACCTGAAAGCAGAAGGACAGGTCCCATTACTGAACTCCAGAGGACTTAGTGGGTACTTTTCTAGAACTTACTTGATATTACTTAATATCAAGTCCATTAATGGCATTCTAGAAGTCTGTTTTTATGCAGTCTTTTGTTGTGATAGCATTTATTACAGTCGTATTTGTTTTGTACATGGGTATCTGAATATATTTTTAGTGAGTGTTGAATATGTCTGTGTAAATGCACATGCATTTCAGAGAGAAGTGCTTTGGGGAGTTATTTGTGCCTCTTATTTCCTGTCTTAATTATCATGAGCACTGACTATTTGAGTGAAAATTTTTGAAACGTTTTTAAGGATAATATAAATAATATAATCACTATTTATAAGGAGTTAGCATGTAAAAAACACAGATGTGAAAGAAAATGGCGTGTTTGGTATTTGGTAAGAGGTATTTGGTGTTGAAGAGTTTGGGAGTTTGTATTCTAGGCAGTGATAAACCATTCAGGTTTGTTTTTTAAAGCAAAGGAGTGGCAAAATTTGTGATTTGGAAGCATCCCTGTCATCAGGGCGTGTGATTAGAGCGAGGGATACCGGTGAGGATGCTCCTGGATTAGTTCACGTTAAAGGTGACAAAGGCCCCAGCTACAGCGTTGGCCATACACGGGGGCCGTTCTGAGAGATTGTTCAGTCAGAATTGACAGGCTTGGCGGTTGATTGAATGAGGCTGGGAAGAAATCATTCCTGCTTCACAGGTTTTTGGCTGGAGTGGCTGACTGCATTGTTATTGCCATTAACCAAGACAGGGAATAATATTGGGAAAAGATGACAGTTCAGTTTGGGACAAGTTGGATGTGAAATTGGATGGAGCATCCACTGGGAGATATTTTGTTGGAAATAGAGCTTTGGATATCAGGAAAGAAGTTGAGCAAGTTAAATTGTATATTTGGATTCATCAGCAAATAGATGTTGCAGTAAAGAAAATTGGGCAGAGAGAGCGTGTGGACTGAGACGAGAAGGGAGCTGAGGACAGAATACTGGGAGACTCCATTGTGTACCACTGTAACATACGAGATGGCTTGATAAGTTCTCAGGCTTGTAATAAACGGAGGCTTAACACAGCCTTTTATTTCTTAGGTAAGTTTTCTTAACTGATGAATAGTGAGTACAAAAAATGCTATTTGAAAAACATTTTAAAGGGTTTTCTTTGACACTGAATGAAGAAGATCCATTGGGAGAAAAAATGAGGTAAAACTTTTGGTTTTAATCTGTATCTCTATTTTAGATTGATTCTCTAAAAGATGCCTTTGCAAGCACTTCTGAAGGTAAGAAATTTGACTGATCTATGTGTAAGTGTTTGAGACACTTAGAGTTAGGAGGTGTTGTGTATGTGTGTGTGTATGTCCCTGTAATTGAAGATTTATCCAAAATCTAAAATCTAGACTTAGATCTAGAATCTATCTAAATTTAGAATTATAGATCTAAGTCTAGAATTTATTCTAGATCTAAATCTAGAATTTATCTAAAATCTAGATCTGGGTTCTAATGCCACCACTACTGCTGATGTTGCTATGTGAACAGAGTAAGCTACCATACCTCTCTTTTCCTCTTCTGTAAAATAGGGACAGTAATGTTTACCTTATTTCCCAAGATTATTGGGAGAGAATATAAGTGAAACTGCAAAAACACTTTGTGGAGCTCAAGGTAACATGGAAATGGGAGGAATGAATATTGACCAAGTTATTTCATAATTTAGAAAAAGACACTGATGTTGTTTCTTAGCCTGATGTAAGTGAGAGAAAGAGAGTGTGTAATGGTGGGGATATATGTAAACTAGCATAGTTCTTGCATTTCTGTGTATTTTAATAGGTAATCCTTTGAATACATAATTAATTGTAGTTTGCTGGTTTTTCTCAGGTCATGATAAAACACCTGTTTCCACTCGTACTCGGAGTAGTCATCTAAAGCGGCCAAAGATTGGAAAGCGGTTTCAGGATTCTGAGTTTAGTAGTTCTCAAGGGGAAGATGAAAAGACTCCCCAGACCTCACCCACAGCTTCAGTAAACAAGTAAAGTGTTGTTTACGTTACTCTCATCATTTGGTTTATTCTTATTTTCATATTACTAGTATTTAGTACTTAAGTTGGAGGCTATTACATTGTTTGTGTAGCAATGACCTTGGTGTAGGAGTTTGTATTTGAATTCTTCTACAAGATTACTGATTACACCTGCCAGTGGTAAGGGTCACTTTGACAGTGTTGTAGGGAGAAGGTGCTAGTAAAAGAGTAGAATAAACTCACCATTTAATCTCTCATGTGGGAAATCCAAGAGAATATTCTAGTGATTGTATTATCCCAAATGAGTCATCATCTTTGAATTTGACAGTAACTGTAGTTTTTAGTAATGCTGAGGTTTAGTCAATTTAAAAAACCCTCAATTTTACTTTCTAACTGATTCATTTTACTGGGTTATTGGATCTAACATAAGTTAGTGATGACCATAAATGGTGCAGACAACTCCTCCAGGAACTTATGAGCCAGCTGAATCAACAGAACACTTGGGGTCTAAACTTTGTCCTCTATCTTCCTTTGAATCTTGAAGAAAGCAAGATTTTAAAATTTTTAAAATTAGACTTGCCCTAACAGTCCTACCAACTGTTCCTGAGTCAACCATTCATAGATTTGCCATATTAGCTGTGAAATTATTTTACTCGGGTAGAGAATTCTGTACCTATGCTAATTTAATTATGTAAATAATTTTAGATTTGGGTAACTAAATTTATAAATGTTTTATTTCGGTGAAAAATTCTTCATGTTGAAGGCAAATATAAGTAAATATTTAAATCTAGTAATTTGTGAAAAGAATAATAAGAGTTTAGATGATAGTTTTCTCACTGAGCAACATTTTGATGTAATACCCTTTTTAGAAGGGAATGTGGGCCGGCCCCGTGGCTTAGCGGTTAAGTGTGCGCGCTCCGCTACTGGCGGCCCCGGTTCGGACCCCGGGCACGCACCGACGCAGCGCTTCTCCGGCCATGCTGAGGCCGAGTCCCACATACAGCAACTAGAAGGATGTGCAGCTATGACATACAACTATCTACTGGGGCTTTGGGGGAAAAATAAATAAAAAAAATTAAAAAAAAAAAAATGAGCCCTATTAAAAAAAAAAAAAAAAAAGAAGGGAATGTAACAGTGCATTTTAAATTGAACATCCCGGAATTATTGTGGAATTGTTTGCTTTTCATAAACAGACCAGTAACAGTAAGACTAAATGCTTGAGTGCTTACTCAGACACTACGAAGAACAAAACTTCACCTTTGCCCTTGAAGAATGGAGTGCCTAGTGGTTTCTAATCCACTTACCTTTACCTGTGACACAGGTTAAGAGGACTGCAAGGTGGACTGTGGTGGTACAATAATAGAAGTGCAGGATGCTGGGGGTCAGAGGAGAGTGTGATTGATTCTAATTGAGGGATGGAGGGATTTGGCATTTGGGCCAGGGCTTCAAAATAAGTAGAAACTCAACAAGCAGAGCTGGGAGAGAAGACTTTCTAGTCTAAGGCTCCACAAACTATGGTCCATAGGCCAAATCTGGCCCACCACCTCTTGTTGTAAATAAAGTTTTATAGTGACACATCCGTGCTCACTAGTTTACATGTTTATTGTGGTTGCTTTTGCTTTACAATGGCAGAGTTGAGTAGTTGTTCAGAGACCATATGGCCCACAAAACCTAAAGGAAAAGTTTGCTGACCCCTGATCTGTACCAGGGCTGTCCAAAGCACCTTCTGCAATGATGGAAATGTTCTGTATCTGCCCTGCCCAAAATGGCAGCCACTACGCAGTGTGCCCATTGAGTACTTGAAATGTGGCTAGGGCAACTGAGGAACTGAATTTTTAATTTCATTTAATTTTAATTAATGTAAATTATGACATGTGTCTTGTGGCTACTGTATTGCACCGTGCAGATCTAGACTACAGGAATAACATGAGCAAAGGCACAAAGCTGGGAGGAATGTTGGTAAGGATAACTCATGTATAAGGTAAGTGGTGGCATCTGGTGGGAGATAAAAATGTAAGGGTCTGATCATGTTAGGCTTTGACAGGGGTACACTTTATTCCCTAAGCCATAGAAAACCATCAGAACTTTCTGAGCTAGGCTGTCACAGGTACAGATATGTGGATTAGAAACATAGCTCTGAAAACCTTACTGAAGAATGTATACTGCAGGTCCGAGGATGACTGGGGAAGAAGTTACAGTGGTCCAGAGAGAACTGGGGCTTGAAGTAGGGCTGTGAAAATGGGAATAGCAAGTTAGGGATATGTTTGGAAGACATTTTGGATTTATTGTCCATAGAGGATGAAACCGTATCATTTATTGTCCATGGAGAATGAAAGGGGCATTATTAATAATTACACCAGTGCTTGGACAAAAGCTGTAAACCAGACTGTCCCAGGTAAACAGGGATGTACGTTCATTCTGATAGAGTAAGATCAAGTCAGATGTGGATGGAGTAAAAGAAGGGCCTAGTTTACATGGTGGAGAAGATGGTGATGTTAGTAATCAACTGGAAAACAAGGTAGGAAAGAGAACAAATTTGTAAGAAGATGAAGAGATTGGTTTTGGACCTGTAAAATTTGGAGTCGTTGACCTAACAACAGTTGATTCTCTGTTACTTTATTCACAAATCCCTGGAATTTTATATTCATCCTTAATAAGATAAATATGAATGGTTTTCTTTTGTTTTCTAGATTGGAGTCTACAGCACACACCTCAGAGAGCTCAGAAGAATTCCTGGAAGAAGAACCTGAACAGAGAGTGATTGAATTTGAGGAGGAAAGTAGTGATAAAGATGCTCGGCAAGCACTGGAAACCCAGCCACGCCTGGAAAAGCAAGATGGTGAAAAGGTATGAGATCACTTATTAAATAAAATAATGGAAGTAAACTGAAGTTTAACTTTCTTAATCGTATGTTGTTAGAAAAATATAATGATATATTTTAGAGTCTTAGTAGAAATTGTGTTTAATATTGAAAAGCTTATGTCTGTTTTAAGCAAGGTCAGGTCTTGGAGTTGGGGAGAGGATAAAGTCACAAGTACCATTTTATATTTCAAACCTAGTTTATAAAAGTTTGACTTATAGCAAAGATAAAATAGAAGATGTTTAGATAGTAAGGTCTCTCAGTGCATTGAAAACATAAATTAATTTGTGGACTTAAACATATGTAAGAAGTGAACAAATGGTATGACTATGAGGTCTGCCTTGTAGAACCAGTTAGAATGCCCTCAAGTCCAACAGGTCCTCAGTTGCATCCCTATTTTGGGTAGGAGGATAGAATTAGTTGTCCAGAAAAAATATATATGACTACAGTTGGTTTACAAATTCCCACAAAAATGACTAAATTCATTTTTTCTTTTTGACACTAGAAACCAAGTAGGAAGATCCTCTATGGCTGAGTAGACTGTATCTGGCTTGCTTTCTGCAGGTCCTCAAGTGTCTGTCCCTATCTTCTTTCTTCTTCCTCTCTATCCATTTCCTGTCCTTCTCTTTTTTTTTTTCTTTAATACCTTCAGTCTTTTGCTCTCGACAGATTTTTTGTTACTTCTTTCATATGTGCTTAAGTTTCTTTAAAAATCTTTTACCTGCTTGCCAAGTCCAGCCAGGCCCTGAACAAGTGAAACTACATTACATTTTTATTTTCTTGACTTACTCCCGTTTAGCTCCTGCTTCCTCTGCTTCATGAAACTATATATATATTTTTTGTGTGTGAGGAAGATCAGCCCTGAGCTAACATCTGATGCCAGTCCTCCTCTTTTTGCTGAGGAAGACTGGCCCTGGGCTAACATCTGTGCCCATCTTCCTCCACTTTATATGGGATGCCGCCACAGCATGGCCTGACAAGCGGTGCGTTAGTGCGCGCCTGGGATCCGAACCTGCGAACCCCGGGCCACTGCAGCGGAGCACGTGCACTTAACCACTGCGCTACTGGGCCAGCCCCAAAACTGTATTTTTAAATGGCATTTTTTTCTTTTCTTGTAGAAAGTTGGGAAAATAAAGCACGTATTTAAAAAAGGAATTATATGCATCTAGTTGTTTATGGGAATATATATTCGTTTTTTTCTTTTTTAAAAACTTGGTTATCTGTACCTGCTTCCTGTACCCTGTTTCACTTGTCCCACGATACATTGAGCACAGGCTCATGTGGGTCACCAGGGCACTTCCGTCCCACGACTCTCTTCCTCAGGATTCTCCAGCCCCTGGGTTTATAACACTACTGTATTTTGGTTTCTTGGCTTTCTTATCTCTGCAGTTTTGTTTTGGTTTTATTTATTTTTTGACTGTTCTGCTTCCTGCCTTTTCCCCTTTATTTGTGGACATTCTAGAAGACTTAGTTCTTTGGTGCATCCTCTCTTTTGAAAACACATCCAATCTAATGGCTCAACTGTCATCTCTGTGGGGATGACCAATAACTCTGGACTTTCGGTATTGATCCAGACTGTAGTCCCATAATGTTAGTTGCCTTCTGAATATTTCTATTTAGACAGCTGTCTTTTATTATCTTAAGTTCAACATAATCTCTATTCTTTCTTCTTGAGCCTTTTTTCCTATTTGTTATCTTACGTTTTGTTCCTAAACCTAAAACTCGAAGAACTCAGTGTTTCTCTTCTGTTGCTTCTCACTTTCAGTTACTTACCAAAATTCTATTTTTTAAGCTTTTGCTCTCTCCTTCTCATTTTCTTCCTTTGAGCATTTCTCCTACTCTAGTTGGTCCTTGTGTGAATTTTATTATTATCTCCTTCTGTGTGCAGTTTATTCTCTATAACTATCTGAATATATTAATTTTTCTAAGTCCCTGATTTCAATATCCCTATGGAAAACTTTCATTACATGATTTCAGGGGTCCTGTATTATCCAGCCAAATCTATTTCTGAACACCTCAGTGCATCCATTTTCTAGTTTTTAAAGTGATAATAAAATACCCTCTAATTATTAGAATGTCACTAGGGTTAATTAAAAATATTAGACATTAAATAGAAGTCTCGTAAATTGGTAAACATTGGACGAAGAGTTTCAGAAATTGGAGGGTTTGTGTTATCAGATCGCTTTTCATATTTTAATGTGATGTAAAGAGCAGGATTGTTCATAAATGACCCTGGGTTGACTGGACAGTGAGCTAACAGAGATGGGGGGCTCTCTTCTCCCAGCAAGAAACTGTACCTGAACTCAACTTCCCACAGACGGGTAGTGCTTCCTCCCCTGGCAGGGTGAACTGTAACTTCCCACAGGCCCCAGAGTGTTAGTGCTGAACAGCTGCTGTTCTGTAAAGAGCTGGCACCAAATCTAGACTCTCTCTGGTGCCTGTTTACTGACAAGGTCCCTCCCATGATGGCCCTATAGGAAGGAGGAGCAAGAAGAGGGCAGGGTCTCCTCACTGAGTCTCAGACCCACACTGTGTCCACAGAGCCTCCTGGTCCTGTGCTCTGTCTCCATGAGAACAGGGGACTTGGGGCACTTGTGGATTCTTTTCTATTACTCACCTCTGCTTCATAAGTTTCCCCTTTCCCCCAGTAACATTGTTCCTTAACCCGTGCCCTATAATGTGGTAGAATTTATCTTGAGTCCTGGTGCATCACATTAGGGACTGAGAATGGACCCATCTTGCATGACGAATAAGTTAGTGTGTAATCGTGTCCTGATGTATTTTTTTCCCCCAATGGTGTAGGAATCTGAATTAGAGCCTATGAATGGTGAGATAATGGATGATGCTCTTAAGACCTCACTTACAACTGAAGAGGAGGACTCCACTAGTGAGGTTTTAGATGAAGAGTTAAAATTGCAGTCTTTTAATTCCAGTGAAGACTCTACGAATTTTGTTCCACTGGTAGTAGAATCTTCAAAACCCCCTGAGGCTGTTGCACAGGATAAGGTGAGGGGGAAATAACCCAATTTTTTATAGTTAAGGTGTTCCACTGTTGGTGACATGGCATTGGCAGTGTAGTATATATATGTTTTCCTCCACTTTAACATGTACAGTCCTTCAGGAAAATTATACTAGATTTGGTATTTTCAGAAGATGCAATCAGTAATATTCCATAAATTCAAACCTTTGTAACTTTGTTCAATCAAATTCGACTAATGGTAACAAAATGAATTTTACTTTGTAGATTTAGAGAAATGTTTGGAAAAATGGATAAAGCGTTATTTACCAAATATTCGAATACTTATTGCTTACACAGTCTATGACCAATAGAGTCATTTTAATTTGTTTTAATTAGGGAGACAGATTAGATGATATGCATTGCTTAATGACGGGGATACATTCTGAGAAATGCATTGTTAGGTGATTTTCTCATTGTGTGAACATTGTAGAGTGTTCTTACAGAAACCGAGATGGTATAGCCTACTGCACACCTAGGCTATATAGTACTAATCTTATGGGACCACCATTGTATATGTGGTCCATTGTTGACCAAAACGTGGTTATGTGGCGCATGACTGTAGTGGGAAAAACTTGATGGAGTATTTTATTTTTTATTTATTTATTTATTTTTTATAATTTTATTTATTTATTTTCCCCCCCAAAGCCCCAGTAGATAGTCGTATGTCATAGCTGCACATCCTTCTGGTTGCTATATGTGGGACACGGCCTCAGCATGGCCGGAGAAGCGGTGCATCGGTGCACCCCCGGGATCCGAACCCAGGCCGCCAGCAGTGGAGCACGTGCACTTAACCGCTAAGCCACGGGGCCGGCCCTGATGGAGTATTTTAAAAGTCTAATTTTTGCTTTTGAATATTCCAATTTAAGGCTAAGAAACTATTGTATAGCATTATTTTATTAGTGTCTCACATAAATAAATGAATACAATTTCCACTGCCCTTACCTATCATCTAATGACACCATAGTCAAACTTAGTGAGGTGGCATGGTGTCAAGTCCCAAGGGACTCCTGGTTCTGGCTCCAGTAACACTCAGAAACTGAAAACTTTGAGTCAATTCATGGTTTTGAAGAATCGTGATATGAAGTTTAAAATGTCTTAAGTACTTTTTGAGGTAAAATACTTTTATTATATCTTTAAAGCAAAGACTTAGTGTATCCAAATTATCATGTTAAGATAATTTTGAAGAAATTGAGTTATATTCAGAATATATATACTTGATTAACAAAAGTAGCAAGTACTGAATTCTTTAAAATGCAGGTCAGTGTCATTGCATATTAGTGTCTGAGAATAATTTACGTAAGAACTATATTGCAAAAGTTTGTTCACCAGGCTTTTCATTTTCAGGCCTCACATGTAACTGACTCAGAAATGTTGCTCGAGGAAGGCCCATCTGATGAAAAGGGGCACCCCGAAGAGAAACTGCCACTAGTTTCAAGGAAGAAAGCCCACTTTGGGGGTTCAGACAATGTTGCTACTATCCCAAATGAAGAGCGGTCTGACAGTGGTTTTCCAAACTCTGTGGTAACTGAATTTTCTGAGGAATCCATCTCTGAAAACTTATCCCCCAACACTACTTCCTCATTGGAAGACCAGGGCGAGGAGGGGGTACCCGAGCCCCAGGAAACGTCTACAGCTCTTCCGCAGAGTTCTTTGATAGAGGTTGAACTTGAAGATGTGCCGTTGTCACAGAGCGCAGGACAGAGGAACCAGTCGGAGGAGCAGTCGGAAGCGTCTTCTGAGCAGCTGGATCAGCTTACACAGTCGACAGAAAAAACTGCGGACAGCAGCTCGGAGGAGATGGAGGTGGAAGTGCCTGTGGTGGACAGGCGGAGCTTAAGAAGAAAGGCCAAGGGGCACAAGGGGCCTGGTAAGAAGAAGGCCAAGCTGACCTGAGTGAAGAAGACACGCACATGGCGAATCCTCTTCTTTGTAACATAACGGTTGTTTTTTAAATATGGTAATTAATAAATAGCATGGGGCACAGGACTAAAATTCCAAAAGTTCAATTTGGACTTATTTATGATGCCGTTTTTCCCTCCCCCTTAGGACCTAGGAGTCACCATTCTTTTTAATTTTTCAGGCTATTTTGTGTAAATACAATTTTTTATTTTTATTAACCATGTTTCGATTTGGGGAAACCAGATCATACTATTTTTTCTTTAGCATTTGGAGACATCTGACCATTAATATTTCAGAAAATACAAATTAAAAAACTGTGAAAGTAGTAGGCTTTCTGTTACTTGTAAGGATCACAGAAATCTTTTATATTAAGGGTTTTAATAGTAAACTTGGTGAGGGTTCTAGAAATTTTATCTCAAATATCAAAACTAATCACCATTTTTTAAAATGTAGTCATGCCTAAACAAAAGTGTCAGTAAATTGGAATAAATATAACTTCAACTAAGTGAGCGCACAAATACGGAAATTTGTGGTCAAAGGTTTATGAAGGTGTTATTTTGGCCTCTTAATTCTTAGTTGTGTAGAGGCAATTTCTTCCTTTGACTTCAATGTCGGTGGAAAGGTAGAAAATCTGTTTCCAACTCACTCTTTAAACATCTCATACTAGTAGTACTGCTAGGGATTTACCTCTGGCATGTGGGCACTAGTGTAAGTATTTGAAATTTCACGTGAAGATGGGGACTGTGCTCTTCTCACCCAGTTAACGTGTATACTTCAGGAGTGTGAGAACCCTTCCTCAGGCTTCTTGAGCCTGCCACTGCCGTGACTCCAGAATCTTACTTATATTCCCCCAGCTTTCATCCACTTCCCTGACCCATGGAGTGATTCCTGTCCAGAGACCTGCATGCCTGCCAGCTTGTGCCCTTGGCATCCATTTCTGGGTAGGTTTGGGGCTGCACCCCAATCTGGGACCTAGGTGGCAGGAATAAAGCTGCTCTGGGAGCTGCAGTTACAAGAGCTTCAGTCACTCTGGAGGCTGTGGTTGTCCCTTTGGTTTTGCTCACTCTTGATTTGTTCCGTGAGGACAGGTTACAAGCTAGCCTGTGTGTATACACTGTGTTGCCATAGCAAAGGCCTTTGCCTAGGAAAACAAAAAAAATCTCTCAATCGTTAATTTTTGTATAGTAATTTATTGAAAAATGAATCAGTTATTCTTAGAATCCAAAGAGAATGTCAGAACAATCCTACTCTTTGGAAGTATTCTGTGTACTCAAATTTGCACTTAAGTTGGAGACTGCTTTGAGACTGTTTAGGTTGTTCTTAAAACAGCTTGGTCCTTACGTGAAAAAAACGTGTTATGACTTTGTGTCATTATTTGAGGTGCTAAGGACTGATGCTGAAGGTTTATTCAGTCTACAGTCAGGTGATGTCATTATATTTGGGGATGTTGGTATTTTAGAAGGATCTAATAAGTTGAGTTAAAATCCTCAAGCCAGCAAAACAGCAAACCCTCCTATTCGTGTAAAATTTTGAATACTTGTATCTCCTACATTTTCTTTAATTACTGGTCAGAGATGAGCCAGATTATTTCACTCTAAATGAAAATTAAAGCACTTTGGCCATTTGTTTTCTTAACAAATGCTAATTAAGTGGAAGAATAAGTATGACTAATACTAGTGTATCTGTTGAACATATATGCTGTTTTATACATTTTGTGGGAAACTTTTGTTAATACTACATTTAGGGAAATAGAGATTAAGATTTAGCAAATTCTTAACCTTTCCATTTTTAATTTCTTAAAATAGATTTAAAAACCTAACACTTAGATATTTTACTTTTTTACTTGGACTGTTCATTGTTCTCTTTAAAATACTTTCTTTAAAAAGGTGTAGTTTAAGAAGATTGAGCTCACTGATGACTCGTGTGAATAGTCACTCATTTTACAAGAAAATGTCTATTCATATATGATCACTGGGGACTAACAGTATAAACTTGTTTGGTTTGTTCTTAAACAGTAAGTGCATTTTAAGCAATTTCAAAATTTTTCAGCACACAGGAAAACTTTTGTTACATATTATCTCTGACAGAAAATGTTATTTTGGGGATTATAGATGGTACATGAGGAAAAGTTAGGTCATGTGGAAAAACCTAATGTTCATGTTCAGTAAAGGAGTTCTATACCCAGTGAGTATAGAATCTATAACAATTTATCCTCAATAAGGAATCTAAATAAAACTTAATCAGATACTTGTAGTTTTTGCAAGGGATTAGAAAAACTTTCAGAATTAGAGGACTGAAATCTGATGTCAGCCAGCTAGGCTAGTTGTTGAGTGTCCAGTCACATTGTATAGTCCTTTGTGATCCCTAGAAGTCTTATTTGTGGAGAAGGGAGTTCACTTCAGTTTGTGTAAATACGTATACATTTCCTTGTGTAATATAAAGCAGTTATTAGCAAAATTTTAGTTCTACTTTCAAGTTTATTCAATTGCTAGACATCACAGAAATATATTTAAGAATTTACTGTAAAGCTCCTCTATAACTTGTAAAGGTGAGAGGGTCTATTATGATTTTTTATAAAATCAAATAGCATGACAGAATGTCAGTCTTCTGTTATTTAAGATGTGTGCATATTCATGGTGTTTCCATTCAGTGCAGAGAATTATCATGGCAAGGATAACAATTAACTGGTGATTAATGGTTCACTTTTAACTGACCACCAGAACATTACCTAAAATGGTTCAGTGACTTTAGAAAAATATCTTGAAGGTTTATGATTGCATCAAATTGAGCCTTTACCTAGAGTCTAAATATCTGCTCTTACGTTCTGCTTTACCCTTAGGGATTACCTTCTAAGGTTTGGTCACACCAGCAAACTGAAACAGATCTTAATGTAAATAAAGAATTTATACTAACATTACTCATCTGTGCAACAGTATTTTAGAAATAAAGTTCTGCCCTGTATGTCCACTAGTAGCAATATGGTGTTTAAGGTGTTATCCAGTCTCTCATGGGTGTGATTAGTTAAAAGTGTTAGGCTTCTGTTTGCATACTTAATATCAAGCTTTCTTGTACAAGATAATTGGCGTATTTTTGGTTCTGAAAAATAAGCAAACTTCAGTTCTATAGTATCCAGTGCTTACCTTTAGTTGATTTATTTCTTTTACTTTCCAAAACTTAAGTCATTCACACATTCCCTATTTCTATTAGTAGCAAAATCATTTGTTAAAATCTGTTAACAAGGTTCAGCTTCTGTCATCCTGAAGTAATTGTATCATACTGGATAATCATTCCCAAGGAACTGGCCTTTCTTTTCCTAAGTGTCTGTGTTGTTCTAAAGCTTCTACTATGTTTATACAACTTAGAAAAGATGTTACATTATTCAGAATATCAAGTCTTACTCAAGTACTTACGTTTGTTTTCTTGATAGTTTTCTTTTAAGTTTCAAAGTAGTAATTAAACCTATATTTTGTGATTGTTTCCTGGTCTGTGTTTTGAAGTTCTTTCCCTTTTCTTTTCCCTAATTTCACTGATGAACATGTGTTTAGATACTGAATTTGTTTAGACATTAAATGATTTTGTTAAAGGTACAATTAATCACATTGGTTGTACTTTCAAGATAAACTTTAAAAAGTAAACAAATTAAAACAATTAACTTAATTGATTAATATGTAGACACCCTAAAGCTCAAAGCTACGTATAATTCAGATCACAAAAGTGCTTTGACCAAGTTATAACCCTGAAACATCAACATTTTTGTATTATCTAAGTAACTGAAAATAAATGTCTTTTTAAGGGCACCAGTGCAAGCTTTTTTTTTTTAAAACTATTTTACCTGGAATTATTTAAACAAATTTTTACCCTTCTAAAAATAGAACTTACTACCTTAAGTTTAGAATATAGAAAATGCTAAAAGTATAAACATATTGGTATATTTTTTCTCACGTTTCAAGTAGAAGATACAGTTCTAGGGTATTACTATAAATGATGAATGACAGGAAAAATTTTTTTTCCATAATAAATCTGATTTAATAACAAGCAAGTTATAAGTGAGAAAATTAGTCCCTTTATACATAAATGTATACATTTTTTAATGTGAAAATAACTTGGCTAAAGCAGCAGTTATATAATATCTACTCTTTGAATAAAAGAAAATGACCTTGGTTTAGAGGAAACACATTTAAAATACTAATTCACTGACCTTGTGTATGAAGTAGTTAAGGATTAATCAGAAGTGAAAGGATTTACCAGAGTTCTTCTGAAGTCTTCCTATTTGGCATAGTGTGCCTCTTCTCATATACTTTGAATGTCAAGACTTGATATTACCACATATTAATGCTACATTTCCTAGGAGTAACGAACAGTGAGGTGGAAGAGACTTCAGGTAAGGTCTCAGGCTTGATAAAGTTTCATAGCCTAGGCCCCATATTTACTTTACTTTTTTTTCTTTTTTAGCTGCAGCTTCCGTGGCTTTGCATATCCAATAGTTGTCTTGAAACTTTTTCTTTTTTTGCTGAGGAAGAGTCACCCTGAGCTAATATCCGTTGCCAATCCTTTTTTTTTTTTTCATGTGAGCTACCACCACAGCACAGCCACTGACAGATGAGTGGGGTAGGTCTATGCTTGGGAACTGAAACCATTCTGCTGACGCGGAGCATGCTGAACTTAACCACTAGTTCCCATATTCAAGTGTGCACTAACCTTGATGGTAAAAGGTGTTTTCAGCTGCACTGGCTTTTCCAGTAATGAGATCCACGTTGCTGAGTACCCACTTACTAATGCAGATACTGATAAAGCAGAATATTCCTATAACTGGTGTTTTTGAGAGAGATAAGATTAGCCCTGAGCTAACATCTGTTGCCAATCCTCCTTTTTTTGAGGAAGACTGGCTCTGGGCTAACACCTGTGCCCGTCCTCCTCTACTTTATATGGGATGCTGCCACAGCATGGCTTGGTAAGTGGTGTGTAGGTCCACGCCGGGAATCCGAACCCTCGAACCCCAGGCCACCGAAGCAGAGCATGTGAATTTAACCACTACGCCACCGGACTGGCCCTACTATAATTGTTTTTTTTTTAATGATTTTTTATATTTTCATTTTTATTTTCTAAGATCAGCCCTGAGCTAACATCCATGCCAATCCTCCTCTTTTTGCTGAGGAAGACCGGCCCTGGCCTAACATCTGTGCCTGTCTTCCTCTACTTCATATGGGACGCTGCCACAGCATGGCCTGACAAGCGATGCATCGGTGCGCTCCCGGGATCCGGCCCTGGGCCGCAGAGCGTGCGAACTTAACTGCTATACCACGGGGCTGGCTCCTATAAATGGTTTTTTTTGTGTGTGTGTGTGTGTGAGGAGATCAGCCCTGTGCTAACATCTGCCAACCCTCCTCTTTTTTTGCTGAGGAAGACTGGCCCTGGGCTAACATCCGTGCCCATCTTCCTCCACTTTATATGGGATGCTGCCACAGCATGGCTTGCCAAGCAGTGTGTCGGTGCGTGCCTGGGATCCGAACCGGCAAACCCCGGCCCGCCACAGCGGAGCGCGAGCACTTAACCACTTGCGCCACCGGGCCGGCCCCTATAATTGTTTTAATTGTTCAATTTTATGAACATCTAAACACTAAACAGACCCAAAAATAAAGACTAATTTGTACAACTGGGCCATTTTAATGTTTTTTACAATAGATTAAATAGTTCTCTTGATGACTGCAGACATGTAAGGCTGTTTGGTAGCATTCAGAAACATCACAGTAATGGTGGTTTTCCTGATTGGTGTGTAGTCTTCAATAACTATAAGGAGTTACTTCTAGGAAACTGCTGTCAAACCAGTAAGACTGCATTTATGCATCCATCATTTTCAGGATTGTTGGTAACCTGGGCATATTTTCCTAATGAAAACAAAACAGAAAAAGGAGGGATGTTAGCTAGTAAAAATTAATTTTAAAGAATATAACCTTTGCCCAAAATATTTCTAATTACTACTTTTAAGAAAGAAAAAATGAACGATAGTAGGATAAATGAGATTGTATAAAATTAAATCAAGAACAAGCTTGAATACAATTTTTGAATACAATTTTTATATAAATATTGTTTTTTACAAATGGCGGTCAGCTCCCTTCTGTTCCTATGTTGTATTAACAAGCTGTTGTGGACTGACCTGAGCATTGCTACTTTTCCACATAATTCTTATGGGAAAATGCATCGAGTTTTAAAAAAGTTTCAAGTCAATTTAACAACCTATCTTAAAGTTGAGGTCAGCCAACGTGAAGTATGAGCCAGTGGCTCATATGAAGACTCAAGAAGTTATACGGTGTATTCTTCCCTTTCAAAGAACATTAAAGTTGAGAAATATCTGGGCACTAAAAGCAGAAAACTAAGAAAATGAGGGAAAAAATAAAAAATTGCATGAACCATTTTGGTTTTTAATTATTACTGAAACAGTGTGGCTATGTGCTTGACGTATGCCTCCCTTCCCAGACTCATGGTTAATTTATTGTGTTTTCTTCCAGTATTTTTTAGTTATAACTTTGCATCTGCTTCCCTCATAACTAAGGCCTTTTTAAATAAACAGCATCAAAATAAATCTAGCAATATAGTACATCTTATGTAACTGAAACCAATAAGCTAAATTAAAAAGAACTGCATTTCTTTTTTTTTTTATTTTTTTTTTATTTTTTCCCCCCAAAGCCCCAGTGGATAGTTGTATGTCGTAGCTGCACATCCCTCTAGTTGCTGTATGTGGGACTCGGCCTCAGGATGAACGGAGAAGCGGTGCCTCGATGCGCACCCGGGATCCGAACCCGGGCCACCAGCATCGCAGCGCGCGCACTTAACCACCAAGCCACAGGGCCGGCCCAGAACTGCATTTCTAACTACTTTTTCTACAAAAAGTATTCTTCCTAAAGATTTAAATCTGTTTTACATCAAGTTTTAACTTATCTAGCTCTTCTGCATTTAAATTTGCTGTGTACTTTGTCAACCTGAAAATTTCTATTTTAGGATTCTAACAGCAGCAGCCCCATATTCAAAAATTTACTTACCCCAAATAACCTTGCCTCCTTGTGTCACAAGGCCCAACTCGCTCACATTCACTTCAATGACAGTACCTTTGGTAATAACACCCAAAGTTGTATATAGCGGGGACGAGGGATTCTTCTTTACACCAAGTATTGGCAGGCAAAAGGTGGCTTTCAGTTCAGGATGTGTTACATGGGCCTTCTTGAAACGTAAGCCCTAGTAAGTCAAACATGAGAATGTTTTAAGTCCAAAATACAAAATGCTAACAACAATGAAGAATGATCTTTTTGCCTCGGTTTTCCCATCATCTCAAAAAAAACCAAAGGATTGAATAAGGTCAAATCTTAAGGCATTAAATAAAATACTTACAATTAATTCTACAGATTAAAAACCTGATATGGGATAAATATGTGGGGAAAAAACACCAAACCTGTACTCCTGAAAAGTGCTTACCACGGAACAGCTCCCTAGCACCACCCTCAGTTCTCCCCCTGCCCAGCTATCTACACTTACTGAGGACGTGAGACATGCCAGGTGCTATGCCAGAGCTCACCAAGAGAGCATTTAAACATAACCCTACAACCCCCCTACCTTTTTGTTAAATGAGAAAACAAGCATTGGCAGGTTATGACTTGTTCCCAGGTTAAATGGTGTGTGGATAGCATCAAACTTAAGTATTCTGATTCCAAGTCCTTCTATACCTCAGCTACCTCCCGTGATGAGAAAGGGGTGGGCTGTCAGCTTTTTTTTGTGTTGATGGTTAATACTGGTCAAAGACTGGAGAGAGCCGAGAGAGGTCTGTTACAGAGACCAGAGTCACCCAGTCACCTAGACTCGGTCTTTTGAGGTGTAGCACTTTAGAAGCCACAAGACTTGGCAGTCTCTTAAATTTGAGTTTTGCCTGTATGGGGGTAGGGGACAAATGATACTAAATCAAGTTCTTAGTGATGAACTCATTAATCAAGCTTGTAAGAAATATACCATTCAGAATGCCATCTGATTAATTCACAATAAGAAATATATCTGCCAAGCTACAGAAAACCTAGAACAGCATGGCTAGTATATTCTCTCCCTGTAGAACTGGTAAGGTTACCAAAATGTATTTAGAAGATTATGAATATGAAATCAAAGTAAGGAGAGTCTGTGATGTAACCCAGGGGTGGATGAATGTTTCCCATAAATGACAAGATAGTGAACTCATTAGCTCTGCAGGACATACGGTCCGTGTTGCAACTACTCAAACTCCGAAGAAAAAAAATCGGCCATGGACAATATGTAAATGAACGGGTGTGGCTGTATTCCAATAGAACTTTATTTATAGAAACAGGCTGTTTGACAACATTTTAATCCATTAAAAATTATTCAGGTTGAGAGCTAGAGTAACACTGCCAACTTCCCTCTCTCTGATTGTTTTTCTAGGCAGGCTAGATATCCAGTTGGGAGAGTAATTCAGTCTGTTTAAAGGGATTTTGCAAAAATATATCTTCAAATATACAGGGTGCGGAGATTGGTTTTGACCATCACTGCTGTCAAGTGAAATTAAAGCAAATTTTAGATTCTCTTTTTTCAATAATTGCATACTGAATGTTTTCAAAAGCGTTAAGATACTTCCCTAACTAAACTGGAACCGACTTTTGAAAAAAGTCCTACTCAAGTAACTGTTCTCAAAGACAAGTGTCAGGCATATAGTAGATCACTTGTTGAATGAGTAAAATGACTTCATGTGAAAAATGAAGATTCTAATAGGTCATATTTAAAAGTCAGGTTTCACTGACAATATCTGTATTGGAAATTCTTTCTCATCTCAAATCCCTTATGAAGCTGAAGACAAGATTCCTGACCATAGTGGAAAAGTGCTAAGCAATCCCTATCAATAACTTATAATAACAAAAATAAAATGTCTTTCAACCTGTTTTTTGTATCAATTTTGGAATTTTCAGGAAATCATAATGTACTTTAGCCAGTTTAACAAAGGAACTAATACTTAAGCCACCGTACTCTTGCAAGGGACTTACCATTGGCCTAATGAATCTTTCATACTTAGGTGGTTTTCGAGTAAAACCATCTCCAACAAAGCAGACTTTAGTAACCATCCTCTTCCATGCTTTCTTCTTTCTCTTTCCTGTTCGAATAACTTTTAATACTTCTGTTTCTCCCTGAGCACGGACTTTGGGCAGAGGGACTTCCCATTTCCCCTAAAAAGAGACCACAGTTAATATTTATATTGTGAGTAAAAGACAATGAGAATAAAAAATCAAATATGTTTTAGTTGTACAAAGTAGTAGATTCACTTTTTTCCTTAACCAACAAGATTTGGGCTTGACTGTTTTCTAGAGGTTTGAACCGTCTCCTTACAAGCCCTAAATTAATGGGAATGAGTGAAGTTTACATACCATGGGTACATTAAATAAAATGGTTTGCTTTAGCTAAAAATCTTAATGCTTTGTTATGGATGAAAAATACCACCTGTAAAGCAGTGACTTCTCTAAGCAGTATATGTGCTTACTAAATAGTTAATAGTGGAAAACTGGAAGACTGTCTCCACCTCTTAATATATCTTTGTATTTCTACCTTGAATGGATTTTTAGATTACATTACTAGTAAGAAAGAATCATCACCAGATATTTTCTACGTCCCTAGAATGCAAATTCTATGAAAAACCTGAAGTGGTGGAAGGCAACAGAAAGAATTCTGCACTTATTACCAAGACACAGGTTCTAGAAGCAACTCTGCCATTTCACAGATATGTGACCATGAAGAATGATTTGCAATCTCCTGGACTCTAGTCCCTTCATTTATAAACTGAAGAGGGATTAAGTAGATCATCTCTCAAGTTTCTATTGGTGCTAAAGTTCTAACATTCTAGTTTTGGATAATTACAAAAAACAAGCAGTAAGATTTTTAAAATCAAATTTGGAGACTGTAACTTCTTTAAATACAGATACCACATAGTCTGCTGCGATCCACAGGTGTTTAATAATAGTATCTATGCCTTTTTCTCTGTTTTTAGTAGAATTTAACCTAATTTGACATCAAGCACAATCCAGAAGTATTAAACATTCAGCAGGTTTTTTTTTTGTTTTTTGGGTGTTTTTTGGTGAGGAAGACTAGCCCTGAGCTAACATCTGTTGCCAATTCTCTTTTTGCTGAGGAAGAGTGACCTTGAGAACATCCGTGCCCCATCTTTCCTCTACTTATATGTGGGACACCTGCCACAGCATGGCTTGACAAGTGGTGCATAGGTCCGAGCCTGGGATCGGAAACTGCAAACCCCAGGCGGCTGAAGCAGAGCACGAAAACTTAACCACTACGCCACCAGGCCAGCCCTTCAGCAGGTTTTTTTTTTTTAAGTCAGATTACTTAGGGTGTTTTCCACTAGTCTACTTTTTAACCAATTCTGACACTGCAGGGCAGTAAAGTAAGAAGTAGTTGTATCTTTCTCCACAACAGCACAGCATTAGGTGTTGTCAAGTATAGGAAGCCATTAAAATGCTGAATTTGACAATCACCGATTACTCACTAACTTTTTGTAAATAATTTTTTTTATAACTAAAGACATGTGGCATTCTAATAAATTTTTAAAAACCTGTTGATAAATGCTAAAATATTCTGGTGATGAGAAAGCAAATTTTTTATTACTTAAACATTTTATGTAAAATGAAATTTACAAAGACTTCAACATCTAAATAATGGGAATAGTAGTTGGACTTCATGTTTCCAATTAAACTGAAGAAACAAACTAAGAACTCAAATCTGAATTTAAGTAATTCTTCTGAACAAAAAGAAATAAAGACTTTAATTTTTAGTGCTTACCGCTTTCTCTTTTCGTTTTTGTTTAATCATATTGGAAAGTACTTTAGCTCTGGACTGTCCCTCTCTATCCAGCAGATACGCAGGTACTGCTCCTTGTGGAGTCTTTTCATCATTCTTTTGTTTGGTGTTTCTCTTTTCATGCATCTTGATACTACCAAAAAAAAATTCAAGATTATGTTTTAATAACTATTACTCAAAATATGTCAATTTGTTACAACAAATAAATGATCACCTACGTCTTTTTCATTTGGATTTTCTCAGCATGGCGCTGTTTATGGTACAGCTTAGCTTTCAGACCAATCATCTTTTTTGCCTTCTTTGAACGTTCGTGAGCTTCTCGACCTTCCTTCTTTCTCTTTTTCTCGTGGTAATCCAAACGATATCCATAGCGCTTACGGTGTAACTCAATATATTCGTTTTGTGGCTGTAACAATACATGAAATGTTACTTTAATTTTAAAAATTGACAGAATTACTCTAAAATACTTTCTTTTGAGCAGCATATAAAGCATAGAAGGCCCTATGTCATCCAAATGTTCACTTGCTTAAATAACTCTTGCACTATTAAGCCTATTCATGTGATGTAAGTTAAATAAATTTTGATCCTGGATGAGATGAGGTATCAGGACTTACATCTGTAATAATCTCAGTGCAAGTTACTGTTCTTTGAAGGGAACTATCCAAAATCCACTGGACCACAAAAGGGATGATCGGATTCCATGATCTCTTTTTTTCTGAACATCAGTCAGTAATCTGGTTCTCAATATCATCATCATTATTCATACTTTTTATTTAAAAAAATTAAGTCAGTTTTATTGAAGTATAATTTAAACACACTGAAACATGCTCTTTAGGTGTAGGTGTACAGCTGTAAGTTTTGACAAGCTATACATTCTGTAACCACCAGTCAAGACAGAATATTTCCATCACTCCATTAAGGTCCCTTGTGTCACTCTCAAGTCAATCCTCTTTTTCCATCTCCAATCTAATATCTATCCCTCTAGTTCTGCCTTTCCCAGAATGAAATGAAAATGGAATCTACGCGAGGTAGCCTTTTGCATGTAGCTTCTTTCACTTAGCCTAAGGCTTTTGAGATTCCCCCACATCATGGCATGTATCAGTACTTCAATCCTTTTTATTGCCAAGTAGTATTCCATTGTATGGACACAGCACCGTTTGTTTATCCATTCACCAGCTGATGGATATTTGGTGGTTTCCAGTTTTTAGTGACTAAACTTCTGCACATAAGCCTTTGTGTGGTCAGAGGGCAAACTGTTTCCCAAAGTGGCTGCAGTATTTTGCGTTTCACCAGCAATCTAGGGGACCCCCTTTTGCTTTTTAAGCGCCTGTTTTATTCTACACGCCAATTTTATCTTAAACACATGGCCCCAGTCCATTTGCATTTTAAGACTGCAAAAAGAAAATAACGATGCAAAGCCAACCCCAGGGGGGAGAAGAATGCTAAGCAGCAATCAACACGGCACCACCTATCGGGTGTGGGGTTTTCGACTGCTATCACGTAAACCTGGCAGCAACACGAGAAAAGTACGGACTGCCATTCACAAGAAACAGAGCTGAGCGATGCAGCGGAGAGAGAGGGGGTCAGGCAGGCAGACTCCGGCTGCAGGCCGGCTCCCCACTTCATCAGCGGCCGGACCGAGGGAGGCGCGCCTTCCGTCTCCGGAGCAGAAACGCGGGGCGGGACTAACGCCCGCGGTCCAGGCATCGCCGGGCTCCGGCTCCGACGGCCACACGCAGGTGGCGAGCCAGGAACTTAACAGTGAGGCCTGTCTCGCTCCAAAGCCTGTGCTCTGGCACCACCGCGTCCCCAGGGTGAGGTGTTTTCACTCCACGGAGCCCACCCTCGTCCCTGCAGCGGCGCCTCGCTTCCGCCCCCACCCTCGCCCCCAGGCCCCCCGCCCCACCCACTCGGACGCCCCTTGTCGCGAGCGCCCGAGGCGACCTCCTCACCATGCTGCGGGCCGCCGGGGCGCGGAGACGGTCTCAACTTTCGGGTCTCGGGACCCACGAGCCAAGCACGCAACCGCGACAGGAAAGGGACTCCCAAAGCGACGGACTGCACAGAAGGCGCGACGCATGCGTTCCGGGCCTCCGCCCTGCGCCTTTAGCCGGAAGTTGCCGGCCGGCAGCGTTTGCGTGGTGCACCGCCGGAAGTGGGAGGCCGGACGGCGGCGGCAGACCGACAAGGAGCCGGTGTCCTTGTGGCGGGGCCTGGGCGCTCGACGAGGTGGCGCGTGGCGAGGGGAGGCCTTCGGCGCGGCCGGCCCTCGCGCCCTCCACAGCCGGCGGCCAGAGGCCGGCCCCGGCGTGCGG